AATCATTTCTTGCACAACTTATCAAAGCTTCCGTAGATTACACAACATCTTTAAAGAACAAAAATCTTTCCGCTGGTACATTACAATTATACATCCGTGTACAACTGATAATTACGATTTGTGAGATATGTCAGATTTTCATCCAGCAATAGCAACGAATGGCGTTTCTTTACCCTTTCTAATTTCTGAAATTAAGCATTTTATCGATGCAATAATATCATTTGTATTCTATTAGAGGTTCCAGAAAATACAGTTTTCAGTTCTTAGATAGTTTGCTAAAAGGTCATCATATTACTAATTAAGTTATAATTCTATATAATTTTCTCGATTAAGAACGCAATCATCAACATTAACTCTGATAGAAATAGATAATTTTACTTATCCGTCCGTTTAACGCGCACGCGAAAACGATTCTACGCTTGCGCAGACCATATCAAGTCGTAAAGTTCTGCGCGCACGTAAACGCCTATGTGCATGGTCAACGCGCGCATGAGAAAGATTTTAGCTTTGAGTCCAGATTATGGTGTCCGAATTAACGACTTTTGACTGTATAGCCTTGTTTTATCCAAATATTCTTGGTCCTTTTCAAATTACATAAAAGTAAACATGGCCAACTGTACAACTTATTCAATTCACTACAACCGGTTAACCATTTAAATTTTTCATACATAGATTTTTGAAAATGTCGTACACACTGTTGTCCTTTAATCTTAACGTTTTGCGATAGAATAATATCCGGTACCGGTCTACTTAAATAACTATTTCGTTTTTTGTAGTAAACTCTCGTCTCGAAAATGGAGTTTCCAATAAATCTTTAATTATTGAGACATCTGAGTTCTCCCTTCTGAAATGGGGTATTTATTATGAATATAAATTTAATACAATAAATAAAGTATACATAAATAAAAAAATAGTAGTAATAAAATAAATAAATAAATAAATAGTATCTTTTAAAGAATACAATAAACAAAGTATTTACCTACGAGTAGTCGAGGTTATAACTATAAAAACAGCTAAATTTACGAGAAATTCTACTAGCACTGAAGCAAAAATCATGTCTTGCGTTGTATGGTGTCATATCGTCGGCGAAAAAGCAAAGCTTCGGGCTTCCACGAAAAACTTATATTTTCAGCAGAAGTAGCACCACACGGCGCCCGCTGCTGCGGTGCCTCATCATCAGCCTAATGACATCAGGATGAGTCTTTGGGATGTTCATTGGTGCCGACAAACCGAAAGTCTATTCCACGTGCAGAGGATTTCACTGCACGCTGGCACAATAGAACGAACTGTTTCTTGTTCGGTCAGTGAATTAAATTATATTTATTAATTGTTTTTAACATTTGGAAATAATATATTGTGCGGAAAACATCTTGACAATTTTTTAAAAACAAAACCAGGGATATGGTGCTAGACAGATATAACTTATATTCTGGCCTGTGAGATACAATGAATGGTATCACTGAAATTGGACTGTTACCACATTAAATTCGTTTCTTTTTTGTCTAACAAAACAAAATTGTTTTTCAGAGAATTATTTCTATAAATATAATACATCTTCGAAATTACTTTACTACACTAAAACATTTCCCTTTATATTTATGAAATACTTCTTTTATATTTCCATAAAAACAAAGTCTTACAATATATAAATTTAAACATTAACCGTCTACAAAATCGTATGGCCAGTTAATCAGTTAAAAAACCAAAAGCGCTTCAGCACGTAAGTCCCCGCTCTAATGCAACGCTTAACAAACCGTACCTTCGGATGATTCCGAATGCCAAGTGCAGGGAAAATAGCTGCATTTGCTTCAGTGCTATAGTATGCTGTGCTGCTTCTCCAGTAGCCCATACATATAAAGCGTGATTGTCTATTGGTGCTCAGTGCGCACACATCAAAACTTCCTATGTTCGTTTGCTTTTGAACGTGCTACGTGGTGCAGCACCTAGTACCGCTCGCACTGAGGGAATACAAGCAAGCAAATCAACATAATATTTGAATATATTATAAATAATATTTATTATATACTATATAAAGATAGGTGGAGAAAATTATTGTCTCTCATAATTTTGCCAGGGTGTGCAGTGCACATATGTACCGCACGCCACTGGTGTATGATCTTAAATTCACTTAGTGCGAAATCAAGTTATTCTACTTATATTCCATATCATTCACTGTATTTATGTAACTAAATTTTTCGTTCTAGATAAGAAATACATAAAAAAATTATTTTCTTCAATTTCAAATTTTATTTTCAAAAATTGTAAACCTCCATAGATTGTCGTAGATTATATAATTTTCTCAAAATGTGTTGTTATCCCAAAAATTCCATTTAAGCATGTATTCATGGTTTGAAATTTAATGTAGTTCCCCCAATGTGTGAGTTATTAATATCCAATATTTGAATTATTAAATCTTAAGGAAAATGTGATTTTGTTAGTGATAAAGCTATCTGAAATTAAGTAATTTTTATGTGAAAGCTAAAAGGTTTAACGAAGGGACTTAGCATAATAAATGTTAGTTGTCATGTTTTAGGCATTATTTGTATTTACCCTTTGCATTTTTATAACGTTTTTAGGCTTATAAATGAAAATAAGAAATAATAAAATTTCATCTAATATTAATGCTGTTTATTCGTTTCAAAAAGTAATTATTTAAGAGCCAATTTTCCCACAGAACTTCTGAATAATTTTGTATGTTTAAGTATGGCATAAACTGTAAATATCTTTAGCCTTTTCTACATATGATAGAAGAGAACACCAGAGAGGAACCCTGCCATGGTACTATGCCTTCTAGGAATTGCGTCCGTACTCCGGAGACCATTCAGGGGGGCGCGAATCTCACTGGTCCCACTTGGGCTTCCACGAAGTATGGAACCAAAGAATGCTATGACGAGTTAAAAATGAAGACCCTTTGCCCCGGTCACCACTCCAGGAGCATCGAATATTCAAAAGGCTGGTTCATACCAACGACTTTATATAACAGGAACCCCAAAGTTATCTCGTATACCCAGTATATATCTCGTTTGTCCATACCAGTACAAGTCCCCCCCACGAGGGACCGAATGAGACCAAACCCCCAAAGATTACCACGTATCATACGATGTAACAACTCCACAACCAAGGGGCAGACAGACAGTACCAGTACGGCTCCTGCCAAGCCTGAACCATCCAACAATAAACAGAGATTCTAGTCCTGTGAGGAGTGATTATATGCCCCCCGTTGTTGAGACTGCCTAAGTACAGATCCTAGCCAGTACTTCCCAGGAATTCTCCTGAGTCAACCCCGGGGGGGAGAGTAAACTCTACATATGACAAATAGGATTTCAACAATAATTATAATCTTTAGCGTAGTATTTAAGCGTAGCCCAATTTTTTTTTTTTCTTTTCCCTATCTTCGGCACATGTACTATTTACGTTTACATTGATTTTAACATATTGTAATACAAAAGAAATTGTTATTGGCGTTAACATAATTAAGCAGGCTCTCAGTTTGCGTTTTACGAACAATAACTGTCATGATATTGAAAACTCTTGGCAACTTAATATTGTGGGGATTTTAAACGATGAACAAATTAATTAACGAAAGACATTTTAATTAGACAAACGATTATTACATAAATTAATTTAACATTTAAGAGAATTAAACAAGTAATGATTCGTCAAAGTTCTTTTTGAACAGAAGCAGCGTCTCTGCTTTCACGTCAATCGTCTATCATCTCAAAACGGTAATTTCCCTAATTTTTGCTTGGCGCCTTCGCAGCTCGTAGAGAGAATGACTTCACCGGCATCTGGTTTTCATCACAGCTCCAAGCGATCGGCACTACATTTCGGCCATCCGAGGGTGGACTGGCCCTCCAGGACACTGCAAATAATAATAATAATAATAATAATAATAATAATAATAATAATAAAAAAAAAAAACAAAGCAACAATATACAATAACAGAAATAAGTGTTCGTGAAAAATTTTTAAGGTGCCGTCCATTTCTTGAGGAATTCGGCACATGTGGTGGTGCATATGGGACCCTCATGGCATCCTTCCTTTATTACGTCATAGTGTTTGCCACCCTTAACTTTCTTGATCTTATAAGTCCGAAATACTTTCGCTCTTAATTTTAAGTGTGGTCTGAATTGAGTCCTTTTGATTGCCACTAAGTCACCAACTTTGTACGGCTGTGCTTGTCTTCTTTTGGCATTATATGTTTTTTTTTTTTTTTTTTCCTGTTGGACTTGGAAAATTTGCCTCTTGGCTTGCTTTCGTAATTCTTCTCTTTGAGACTCGAATTGAGATTGAAACTCACTTTCTATCATTCTTTGAGCTGATCGGTGCCCTTACTGTTCATTTTAGTACCGAAGAGTAATTCGAACGGAGTAGTGTTAATGCTTCTTGACATGTTTGAGTTAAGCGTTCTCTGAACTTTGTGTGTATGTTTATACCATTCGGTTGTTTTTTTTAAGGACAGTTTTCGCTAATACTGATATAATGACTTGGTTGATTCGTTCGACTTGTCCATTTGCTCTCGGCAGGCCTGTGGTGATTAGATGATGTTTAATATCTTCTTTAGCACAGTAGTCAGAAAACTCACTGGATGTGAAAGCCGTTCCTCTATCAGAAATGATCTGACAAGGGCTTCCAAAAATGGCCTTCTGATTCTCTAACTTCGCTATCACCTCGGCTGAGGTCGTAGATTTTGTTGGATAAATCCAAGTAAATTTAGTAAAGGCGTCGACCACTACTAATATGTGTTTGTAGTTTTTATGGGTACTTTCCAGAGGACCCAAGTGATCTATATGATAGGTATGCAATGGAATGTCCTCTTTGAATCGCGGATGTAAAAATCCTTCCTTTTTCCCAGCTTTACGATTTATTAAGATGCATAGAACACAATTTGCGATAACGTTTTCTATCTTCTGCCGAAGTTTGGGAATGAAATAGTATTCATCCAAGGTGTTTCTGTATGTTCTCGATTACCGGTGAGCCCTTTCTCGTGAGCTTTTATGATTTCAGTCTGCATACTTTCCGGTACGACTATCAACTCTTTACCGTCAATAAACTTGTATAGTACGCCCATTTCTATTACAATAATTTTCATAACTTGAGGTTTACAATAATTCCTTTAATGGCTTTTATTTCAGTGTCATTTTCTTGGAGCAAGGTTTTAATTTAGGTAAGCTATTTTTCAACAGAAACACATAACACGTTTACAGGGAAGCTCTACTTAGCGCATCTACATGTGGCATTCTAACACCTTTACGATGCTCTCTTCTTTAGCACAGTAGTTTCACATTCTAACACCTTTACGAAGAATAATCGAATTCCTGTAACCACAGAGCCCAACAAGCAACACGCGTCGCTAAATCTCTTTTTTCCATCGCCCGTTGAAATGCTGAACAGTCCGTCACTATCTTAAATGAAATTCTCAAAAGGTAAACTCGGAAACTTTTTCAGTGCTTCTACGATCGCGAGAACCTCCAATTCGTAACTTGATACTTTTTGTCTGCATCAGAGGGTTTCCTACTCATAAAATAAGTTGGGTGAAAACTGCTATCACCTGGGAGTTTCTGCATTAGAATTCGCCCCATATCCTTCTATACTGGCGTCTGTGCGTAGTTCGGTTTCATAATGAGGGGATTATAAATTGCAAGTATAGGCTTCCTCAGCTAAGCGCTGATTTCAAACGATTGAATGCGATCCTCTTGTTCTTCACCGAATTCGAACTTATTACCCTTTTTTAGCATATTCGCTAAGCGGCTTGGCAATTATAGAGTATTTAGGAATAAATTTTCTGAAATACCCTGTTAATCCCAAGAAAACTTTGGATCTGTTTTAAATTAGATGGTTCAAGGGAAAATATATAACAGCTTGCGTCTTCAAGGTTGGATGGGAAAATTTTACCCTCTTCTATGACATGGACCTAAAAAGTCACAATTCGTTTCTTTAAGAATTGGCGATTTTTTAAAATTTATTTCCAATCCTGTATTCACTTCGCTAGATTTAAAACTTGACTCAGCCTCTCGATTCCCTCTTCGTATGTGGCGGACAAAATGATGATATCATCCTTGTACGGCAAAACGATGCCATCGTTAACTAACGGTCGGAAAATGGTATTTATGAATCTCTTGGAATACAGCTGGTGAGTTACAGAAGTCCAAAACGGCACTTTGAAAAACTGGTACTGTCCTTCATGCGTAACAAATGATGTGTACTTCCGACATTCCTTTTCGACGTCCACATGAAAAAAGCCATTTTTGAGATCAATAGTGCTGAAAATACGTGCACTTCTTGAAGGTAGTCTAGGATATCCTCAATCAGGGGAAGGGGAAATTCTATCCTTACGACAACTTTGTTTAAACGACGATAATCAACGCAAACTCTTGGTGTTCCCGTCTTTTCTTTTTAACGATGACCAATGGGCTCGAATATTCCGAAGAACTTCTGTTCTATAATTCCTGACTTTAGCCATTCGGATATTTGGGTTTCAACAATTTTCTTTTCCGCAAACGGTAATCGACGCGGTTGATGCGATACTGGTTTTGTTATTTTTAACGCAAACTTTTAACTGTATGTCCGTTAGATTTGGTCTTACGTGGCATATAGTTCGAAACTAACTGTTGAACAGTCTCTTTAAAGTAGTTTGGAACACTAGGTGCAATGTTTATTTTCTTCTTCGTTATTAGCTAGGTCAACAGGTAAAACAGATACAATATTTACTTTCTCTACACTCTGTGACTTATTTTTTATGGTAAACCCCACTTTCGTTTATTAATATTTCACCTTTTAATATTACGTTTAAGCCTAAAATGGCTTCATGTGTCATCACATTGTTGCCTACAACATAAATATCTGCAGTACACTGGAAATCATTAATTTTAATATTACCTTTAAAGAAACCTAGAGGTTTTACTTGACATTTACCTAACGCACTCAGCGTTGAACTTACGGGCACGCAAGGCCATTCGATATTCAAGTTTATCAAAAAGTCGATCTACATAACAAAGTAGTTTGACTTTCCTGTGTCTATTAACGCGGTTACATATACATCATTAAATTTTTACTTCTTTAGTCAACTTCGAGACTACATCAATATTCACGGTTTCGATACTTCTGGTTTCGAAGTTCGTATTTGAGCATTCGAAACTTCGGTGCCCAAATTCTTTACATTTAAAACACTTGACTCCCTTATCTTTTGAACACATTGTTTGGAAATATGACCGCTTTCACCGCAGTTGAAACAGGTTGTATTGCATTTAATTTCAGGAATTGTTCCTCGACTATCGGTTACGTTACGCTTTGTCTGGTTACAACAGAATATTTTGAGTCATATTTATGCCTAGATTCAATTTTTTGTTTACTTTCAAATTTTTGTTTTAGACGTTCGCGACTTTTCTTCATCACATCACATATCTGTTGATAAAGCTTCAATTTGTTCTTAAAATCAGTTTTATGTTTGTGACCCATACAAGCAAGATTTTTTAAATGCGGAGCCTGGTTATACCATCTATAACATATCGTATTAAAGCAACATCTTTCAATTTGACCATTTTTAGCAATTCTTTTCATATTTAAAAAATACTCATCAAATGTTTCATTGCTCTTCATTTTTTTGTTTGATAATAACTCATGCAGTTCGGCTGAATTGCAGCTGGACCGGAATTCATCAAGAATGGCATTCTTAAAAAACTTGCCATGAGTTCAACTTTGGTTCACTAAGAACAAATAGTTTTGCTTTGGCCTGTCATCAGGCGTTTAGGAAAATCAGTTTTTGTAAATCATTGAACTGAAGAATGGTAGCTGCATCTTCAAAACTTTCGACCCAACTACTGACATTTTCGTGGCTTTGGCCATCAAATTGAGCAACAAAAGATTTGATGTCTTCAATAGTAACATTTATACTACAGTTATGAAATACATTCGACTTGTTTTCAATTGTACTAAGAATATTATCATTAGCACATTGGGAAGGAAGTTGTCTCACTGTGGCACCAGAATTGTTTCTTAGTTTCGTTTCATCTCGAACATTATCATCTACTTCATTTTTATCCCCACCATCCACACCCTCTAAATCACTTTCGTTTTCACTTTCTTCTAAAATTACATTATTTTAAGCAATTCTAAATTATTCAGATAAGAAAACAATTCGGGTTGCTAAGTCATCTTGTGTGCCAGAGCTATTAATGCAATAAACATTGGCAATGGAAATTAATTCATAAGCCTGAAAATCTTGTTTGATTTTTTCGAGTTTTTCATTAAGTTCTTTACTATTCTCTCTAAAGAGAAACCACTAAATTGTCTTAACCTTTTCGATTATTTCTGTCGCCCACATCGTTAAATATTATTTTGTGTAATAATTTATATTATGCGCTTTTTTCACTTTTCAGGACATCTTCCATTCCCGGCACACTCAATTAGAAACATAGTTAATAAAATTGAGAAAATCACTCACTTCATATAATGGTAATCCACGATGTTCCTGGCTCTATAATCCGGAAACAGAAACGAAACAAATTACTTCCATACCATCCAATGGATCACAAATGCTGTCGACAAGAGGCGAGTACAAACAGATTATGTCCGATGGATTTTTGGCCACAATTCACGTCTTGACACTTGACATCCAGTATTATTAAAATTAATTCCAGTCCTTAATAGAGCCGCACACTATTTACTCACTATTACGCAGTTTCAGTTCAGGTAAATCAGCATACATTCCTAGGAGTTTGATGAGGTTTTTGTTCGAAACATAGTTGATTATACATTGCAAAACAGTCCAGAACAGCAACAGTTGTTCTTCAAAACCGGTAGTAATCCAGGAGAAAGCAGGTAAAACTACAGTTCATTCGAGTGCTGAAGTGCTATCCCACTTCTGAGAAAATTTTTGTGGGGATTTTAAACGATGAACAAATTAATTAACGAAAGACATTTTAATTAGACAAACGATTATTACATAAATTTAACATTTAAGAGAATTAAACAAGTAATGATTCGTCAAAGTTCTTTTTGAACAGAAGCAGCATCTCTGCTTTCCACGTCTATCGTCTATCATCTCAAAACGGTAATTTCCCTAATTTTTGCTTGGCGCCTTCGCAGCTCGTAGAGAGAATGACGTCACGGCATCTGGTTTTCATCACAGCTCCAAGCGATCGGCACTACAATATTTTGGGTACTTATGATCTATGCAACTAAGAAAAATTCAAAATTTAATTGGCATGAAAAACTAAATTCATGTCTGCTTTCAAATTCAGTAATATTTAAAAGAGAAGAATTTTAACACGTTATGAAGCACATTATTCAAAATTATAGGTACAGTTTAATAAATGAAACAAAACAAATAAAATTCCATTAAATATATTCTTGAACTGTAATCATAAATATTTTAAAACTGTTCGTTCATTAACCTTCTAATTCAGGGTAATAAAGAATCTGGAAAAACCATTCAACTTTTTAATTAAACATATTTTGTTTTCTTGTTATAAGAAGAAATTTTCCTAATATACTGAATTAAAAAGGTCTTGATATTCTGTTAAGCTAACATTTTCGCCAGTATAATTAGGCAACATTTATTGCAATGCTTTAGAAAAGTTAAAAAAGGGTTAATGAATTTTTACAAGGACTCTAATTATCTCTTTTATTTCATTAGGTCTGTGAGCTTCATTTTACTGCATGTGAAATTGAAAGATTCTTGGAAATGTATGATGAGAAATCCGGCAGAAATGTTGTTTGGAGAAATTGAAATTAAAAGTTTTGATGAAAATAATATTGACTTATTCACACTGAGAAGGATTTTACTAGTGCCTTCCATACATTACAAGTAACACATAATGTTCTGCCTGCCATAACTTATGTCGCTGGTTATTGTGAGTATAGGTTTTAAAGACCGTGAAATGTGAATTTTGTCAGGAAAACCTTACTTTAAATAAAAAACGTTGGAATTGGGTGAAGAGTAGCGTTTCATACTGAATGTGGACCAAGGTGGACTGCTTTGTCTGCATCCAGATATAATAACTAAGGTATCGTATAACTGTACTGAAGTAAAAATTTACTACCTGAAGATTATGAAGATAGTTTTTGAATGTAATAAAATAAGTATCGCTTATGCATTACTGTACCAAACTGTAAGAGTTTTATATTAACGTTTATAGCTTATGACAAGTGTATTAAAAGGAACTCCTTGGAAAATATTCTAAATTTTGTTTATTAAGGATTCATGCAACAAATTCTTTAAAAAACTACTGTATTCAAATTTTGGTGATGAGTTGAGGAACATATCAGGAAAAAACTTCAGTAAAATAGATAATTTGTCGTTAATTTAAATGAGGCTTTCAGTTAATATGTAATTGTTTGGTAAGTTTTGCGTATAATTCTCTAATTGCTTAGATAATTCTTTGGTCTTACATACATTTCTCTAAGTGCAGGATTTTACAGCTGTATTAATATTTCCAGTATGCTGTAATTTCATTTCCTAAAAATTCAGTTTTTTTTTTAAAGTGGTTTTCTAATGGTTTTTTTTTTAAGTGGTTCCTTAATAAAATTTCTGCTGATTAACTGGACTTTCAATAAAATGCAAATTTATTCTAAATGTGTTGAAATGAATTCTGTAAGTAGGTCGAAGTATTAGTTTATTCTATTTAGTACTAGTATAAATATTGTTAAAATTGCTGCTGACAGCGTTTAAATTTATGCGGAAAGGAATTCACTTGCTATAATGGTGCAGTAATTTCAGTTTCTGTTACATATTGTTTAAATTCTAAATTTTGTTTCAGCTTTTAATTTGAATAATCATACTTAACTGAAATAAATAAATAAATAAATAAATAAATAATAAAAAAAAAAACAGGTTTCTCAAACATTTTTAAGGGTCTGAAATTTTTCGAGCTTTGAGAAATTAGATAATGATAGTAATTACTCACTCAAAGTTATTCTTGGGATTAAAAACTGGAGTAATGCTTAATAAGTAATGGCACTACAAAACTTTTTAAAGTCATTTATCTGCTAAATAGTGTTGATTTTTTTCTTTGTGAGTTTTTAATATTTTATAATCTTTGAAATGCTAATAAATTTTTTTTTTGAAGCAAAATTTTCTCATTCTTTTCATGAAACTCAAACTGGAAGATTTTTGGTAAATGAAACTAATAGTAACTTTTTAAAATATATTTTTAGTTACTTTAAAAATATTTTTCGTGCTTTTAATATTTATTACAAATATGCTATTGAACAACACTTTTTTAACTTTGTTTTCTAGTAAAGTACTGAAAGATAATTATTATCGTCGACTGATGGCTGCCACCTGACATTTACTTTCGTCTTTTGGTTTTACTGATGTTCTTCACGTGATACAGAGTAAAAGGAGGCGCTGCTTTCTGAAACTCAAATTCACTATATGTTCTTAGTTTCCTCCCTGCGGACGAAGGTACGGGGTCTCCTTGTCGTGATGTCACTTTTCAGTGAGAAGGCTTTCTTAACTCTCAGTTGTGTCGGTAAAGCACAAGTCCTGAACCTTTTTCTAGGAAAAAAAAAAAAAAAATTCCTTCTTCCAATGCAATGGGGTAAACCACAAGTCCAACTTTTTCATGTCCAAAACCCCTGAAAAATTCTTAATATATTCTCGAACCTCTTAAAGTAGCTAAAAAAAGAAAGAAAGAAAAAGAAAACCGAAAACAATATTCTGTAGTCAAATTTTAATAAACAGAAATTAAACATGGCAATAAGGAATTGTTAATAAAATTTATATTTGCACAAATCTTTCAAAGGAAGCAGGAGAGAAAACAAGCTAATGATATTTTGGTTCCTATTTATTGGAGTTTTATAAATCACGGCAAATTGTTGCTAACAGCAATTCGCATATCTATTTGTGCATCCTAGGTATTTCTGAATTTTGTTTTGGTTCACAAAATAGCACTAAATTCAGACTCACATAAGTATGCTGTTGCTAATGGGATGATCACTAGTGCCTTTTCACTAAGTTTTGAGAATTGAGAAACATCAATATTGTTCAAAATTATTGCTTTTAAACTGCATTTCAAGAATACGACTTGTACACAGTTCTAAAAGATCTATCATCCCTTCTTCATCATCCGGCATATTATCCAAATTGAAAGAGTATGGGTTTAAAGTACATGTTTGCGAAGTTTTCAGATTTTCTCCTTTAAAATATACACCAAATGACTATGCAACCGCCTTCGCCGGGAATCGAACCACGGACCTCTGGAATACCGGCCCAGCGTGCTACCATTACACCACGAAGGCACGCTAGGGAAGTGGAAGAAATACCTTATAATATTTCCAAATGTACGGCAAATTTTTCCGCGCATATTCTCATGCGCAAGAAATATGTTTTGCACGTGCATCAGTGATGTGCGTGGGATTTTAAACAATGAGTTAATTTTTTTTTAACAAAAAGAAAAATATTTTCTCGCCCACCCTAGAATATTATTTCTCACTCCTAGTTGGATCTATGGAGTAAATAGTCAGGTGCAACACTTATGAATTAGCGACGAGCTAATGATGATTGCCTTAAGGCACATTTTAATACGATATTATCATTAGTTTATCTTTCGAATTTTTAGGGTATTACTAAAATTTTGTCTTCCTATGAGTTTATCATTTTATGGTGCATGAATTTTAAAATTAAGATCGACATTTCATTTTTCTAAACCACGGATATTAGGTAACGAGCAGGCACAGGTGCTGGGAGAAATTTCCCGAAGCACCATCCATTCCTAAATTATAGTAAACCTTCAAAACGAAGCCTTTATTCAAACTGGCGATTTTTTACTTAGATCGGCAAAGGAACGTCCAGGAATCTTGATGAAGGTAGTAGTTTTCATAGTACTATATACTAAACTTCATAAGTGTGCAGGGAACTCCTAATATCTTGATGAACAATGACTAATTTGAAAATTGCATTTTTATTCAAACTGGTTATTGTTCTCTTAGATCTTCGAAGGAAAACAATATCTCGTAATCTCGATGATGGTTGCACTCGTCATGATACTGTATACTGAACTTCATAAGTGTGCCAGGCACTTTTGTGTCTTAATGCTGAGATACCCTTGTACTTAGGTTAACAATGATCAACTTGCATAAAGATGCTGGCACATGTAATGGAAACTGGCTAAGCTAGTCAGATGATTCCCACCCCTTCCTGCATACAAGCATGCTTTCTCTGGCTTTTTAACTTAATCCAGTAGTTTTGGAAGTTAGCTTTGTTAACCAGCGGCGTTATAAGGGCAGGTTGTATTAAATATGATAATAAAAGAGTATAAAACATGCCATAATATTTTAATTTTGTAATTAAATTATTTATAATTTAATTAAAATTTTTTTGTTATTAATTTTGTTGAGATGATATAAATTACGCAATTTTTTTTAGTCCAAAGGGGCTTTGTCCCTGAAGGACTATTGTTTTCGTTTTGCGATTTTGCGTCGGACTCATAAACGTCGGTTCACTTTTCAAACTGTTGCCACAAAATGTTAGAGTCCTGCATTATATTTGAAGAAATTAAATAATGAAAAATCTGCATAAATGATTGTCTATTTCTCGCATTGTGATAAAACAATGGTACATAGAGCCATCGAATTTTGAATGACGAAATCCTACTGCGAATATGGGCATCTGAAATCCCAAATTTGGAATTGTTTTTATTATAGATTTTATATTTTGTAAAACTTTAACGAATTTTTGATTTACAAACTCAATGCTTTAAAAGTGAGAAATGGCAACGTTATAGAAAAAAAAAATACTTTTATCTCCAGCTCGCGAGACTGTGTATATCGGAAATTCTAAAGATATCCTTAATTTAACATTATTTTGCGATATTGCTCTTGAACTGAATTTTTATGGTTTAAGTGCAAAGAAACATGATATTTAATAAATAAAGGTAACACTCAAAACGTTAAAAAAACGCCCCTTTGGACGTAATTTAAAATCTGAAACATTTCAGATTTTTTATTTATTTATTTATTTTTGCGTAATTTATATCATCTGAAATATGAAAGAAAGCGCAGCAAAATTTACAAGACATCTTGCTACCAAATGACCTACTGATAAACAAGCAATAGAAAACATTAGAGAATGCTGGTAATTTCGTATTTGTTATTGAAAGGTACCTGATTATTGCTTGCGAATTTTGCAGTTTTTAGAACGCATAATAACAGAATTGAGGGATTTCCTTTGAAAATTTCTACTGTGGTAGCCTTGAGTACTTTGCATGCATTGCTGGAATAAGTTATCGAATTATTTTCGAATAAAGTTTTGTAATTTTTTTCTACAAAAAAAAAAAGAATACTTGATAAGCATGTACCTGAGCTTTTCTTTCGTGCAGAAATATGATTCGAAGATAAATCCATGTTGATGAATTAGGTGTAGTAGACCCCGCTTAATACGATCCATTCATCCACTACAAATTTGACAACATTAACGGAATGTGATAACGTTAAACAATGGAAAAAAAAAAAATCTGAAATGTTTCAGATTTTAAATTACGTCCAAAGGGGCGTTTTTTAACATTTTGTGTGTTACCTTTCTTTATTAAATATCATGTTCCTCGCACTTAAACCATAAGATCCAGTGCAACAGCAATATCGCAAAATAGTTTTGAAACGAGCATATCTTTAGAATTTCCGATACAGAGACTCACGCGCTGGAGATAAAAATGTTTTTTCTGCACAACGTTGCCATTGCTCGCTTTGGAATCCTTGAGTTTGTTAATCAAAAATTCGTCAAAGTTTTAAAAAATAGGAAATCGATCATAAAACAAATTTCAAATTTGGTCTTCCACATGCTCATATTCGTTGGAGGATTACGTTATTCAAAATTCGATGACTCTATGTACCGTTGTTTTATCACAATACGAGAAATATACATACATTTATGCAGATTTTTCATTATTTAATTTCTTCAAATATAATGCAGGACTCTAACATTTTGTGGCAATAGTTTGAAAAGTGAACCGACATTTATGAGTTCGACGCAAAATGCCAAAACGAAACTAATAGTCCTTCGGGATTCAAATCCCTTTGGACTAATAATCCTTCAAAACAGCAATGAAATTCAACCAATTTAACATAAATCTAACTAGAAACACACAAATATCTACTTTCACAGTATTTTAGTTAGGAAAAGGCAAAAGTTCATTTCATAGCATTTCTGGAAATCATTTGACCCATGCGTCACCATCGAGATAGATAAGGCCTGCGCTCTGAAACGAAACTGGCTTGTGACGTCACGGTTAGGAGACCCTCAGTAAATTTTTTGTTGACTTTTATAAGTTGTAATTTTTTATCCATTATGTTTAAGAATTGAATTTATGTTTACTTTTGACATCTGAAGCATCATCTCTTGTAATAATTACTAACACTAGTAATATAAAAATTGTCAGCAAAATTTATGATTATTTATTTTAATTGGAAACTAATTTTATATGAAATAACTGTCCTAAGGGGTTGAAAGCATAACACTTATTTCATTACATAATATGTAGAATATCAAATGCAGAGTAAATTTGATTTTTGACAGAGTTCTGTGTTCTTAAATTTAAATATCAATGTTTTCTGTAAATCGTTAAATATCATTTTATCATGATGAAACTTAAATGCATATGTTTAGCTAATATAGATTCTGTTCACTTTTAAAAATGTTATTATCATGCAATCAGTTTGCTTAAAATTTGTTATGCAATATAAATCTTTCTGAGAATGATAGAAAAGATTCTAAAGTAATGTATGTAAGATTCATATTAAGGTAATTAAATTGCGAAACTGAAAAATGAAATTTTAAAAATGTACAGTTATTGAAGAAGCAGTAGTAATTGAATTCATATGTAGACATACTTGTTTTCATTGTATTCAATTCAATGCAATTTTAAAAACAATTTTTTAAATTATCTTTTAAATTACAATCTTTAATTTGAGTACGTGGCACCACCAAAAGCTATGTAAGTTAAGTTAAAAAAATTGCTTACAGAAAAGTTTTGAACATGATGTTAGGATTTATATTTTCTTTTCATCTGGATATTAACAGAAAAAAATATTTTCAGAACAGAGGTAACGCTTATAGTTAAATAGGTATGATGCAAATATTTGCAAGAAATTTCAGTTTCTAAAAGTTTTTTAAGTATTTCATATATTTTTAAAATATTTTCAAAAAAATTGTGTATAACTTTATTTAAAAAACTTTTTTCCTGTCTTATTTGGAATTTTAATATTGATAGTCTTCAGAGCTATGTAATAAACGTTACCTCAATTTAACTACAGATTCTGTCGAATAATTATGTAGCATTAAGAGGAAAACATTAACTGTAATACAGATTAACATACAATATGTAAGTAAGAAATAATTTAAGACTAGTGTTGTATCTCTCAATAGAATTCTAAAAGGTAAAAAGAAATCTCTTACCTTTTCTTTCACCCGGGAGCCGAGCTTGTTCCATTCTAATTCTTATTCGATGAAATATCTAAATAATTCCAAGCTTTTGCATAAAAACTGACACTTCTGTATAAATAAAGATATTATATTTAGATACAGTTATATACAATTATTAGATTACATGAAATTACGCGCTCTCCAGCTAACATTCAATCGAGTTCGGATTCAGAGTTCTAACTACGTTTTTCCGTAGGAATCTAATCGGTATCTTTTACAAAATTGGCCTTGGCTACAACGAGCCTTAATCCAATCGGTTTTGATCATGCCATACGGCCAGTTGATTAGAGAGAATAGTGGTGCAATACGCACCCGCACAGAGGCGAAAAAATTCAAAAGGATAAAAATCCTGCGATTTTAAGCAAAAACAAAATGAGCAGTGGCTGTCCGAGCGGCGAAACGTTTCTGCGTTTACTCCTGAATTTCTTCGCTCACCCACCAAGGTCGTCATTCGTCGAGGCCAGTCACGAGGGTGGTCACCCACCCAAGTGCTGACTCTCCGGTTGCTGCTTGAAAAGAAGCCAAAAGTTAAAAGAGAGGTTCATGGCGTTAATGAATAGAATTTTTCAGATAATATTTTTAACTGTGATACTTGAAGTTAATCAGAATCCTCGGCGAACTTTATTATCGACATGACTGCTTGAAATCCTAGCATAAACTTTTCAGCAGAGTTCTTCGCTGTTCTTATTTTTCTTATATGATTGATGATGTTACTTAATAAGTTATTGATTTTGGGGTCTTTGATCCATTCTATTGCTTCATTAAGATCTTCAGGCGGAGGTTGGATGTTTCTACTTCTATTACGACTGGATTCGGCGTTTTGAGTGTTTCCATTATCAGTTCTTGTCGGGAGAGGAGGAAAATCTTCGTTGTTATTTCTAAATTTTGGTGCACTTGGTACAGGTTTTTTCTTTTCGAATTTTTTCTGATAAACTTCACATCCACGATATGAGGATACATGTTGCTTCGAGCAGAAAATACATGTTGGCTTTTCTTCCGGTTTTAATGGGCATAGTTTGCTTCGATGGTGTGCTCCGCACTTACAGCATCGTTCCGGTTTCGTGCATAAATGTTGGGAATGTCCGTATTCCTGGCAGCGAAAGCATTGAATATTCTTTTCTTTGGTTGATATTTTTCAATTTTTATGTTCATATTGAACATATTGTCAAGATGATAAATGGCATATCCTGCTTTGCTTTTCTTCAATTCAATTAGGAAAATAGGTAATTTTTCGAGATTAAATTTTGGGCTGCGTGTGAATTGTTTCACCTTCAAGACTGGGAATTTACGTCTTTCAAGATCATCTTTGATCAGTTCTTCTTGCATGCTGGCCGGTAGATTTTTTAATATCACTTTCAATGGTTTTTCACTTTCGAGTCTATATGTGTGAAAGGGTATATTCCTGGCATGTAGTAAGCGTGTGGCAGCTCTATATTCGTTGGGAGTTTTGACTTTCACATAAATAGATTGCATTTTCGTTTCTGCTTCGAATTCATCCGAGCATACCGTTAAAAGTAGCTCTCTTATCTCCATCCAATTTACTTCTTTTTGTGTAAATACAATTGGTGGTGGAATTTCCGTTTCACTGGTGGTCTCCATGTTATTTTCAATATCTTCTTTTTCTTCTAAGTCTTTAAATCTATTTTCGGTGATGATTTCCATAGACGCAGTTTCTTTCGGAATCTTCGCAGTTTTCTTGGGAGAGATCCATTCATCCGTCAGGGTTTCGGGAGTTTTCCCGTGCTTAAGAATTTCCAGAAGATTGCTAACTCCGTGTTCTTTTATTAGTGCAGAGATTTGTCTTTCCCTTTCTTGGTCATGTAAATCGATTTTATACATTGCTGATTCAGTGGGTTTAACGTTTTCCGTATTTTGTATCATGCTTCTCTCCTGTGATGGTTCATCATTTTTCCCCTCATGCGAAGTTTTCTTTTTCTTATTCTTTTTCGTCTCAGGCGGGCTCAAAAAGTCATTCAACTTTAAAGGAAGTTTCTGTTTGCTATTTGAAGGTTTTTCTGAGAATTCCGTATCCTTAAAATCATAAGTCCGTTGAATCCGGTTCCGTAATGTCTTCATCAGTATCGCCGACTGTCCTAAAAAAGGACATTTTAACTACCCGAAGGTAAGAAAAAAGTAAAGTGCAATCTCTGTCCGCCTACTGGACTGGGACAGATCTGCGAAAAAATAGAATAGAAAAAAATTATTCTCGAGTTTAGATGTAATGGTGCTGATAGTTCAGAGTTTAGATGTGGAGGCGCTGATAGTTCGGAGTTTAGATGTAACATCTCCTCCCACCATTGAGATCCGACGATGCGGAGGAACTCAATACACACAGGTCCAGTCGATGAGGAGGCCGAACAACTCGTCCAGCTCTGGTCATCACTCGAGGACTTGAGGCAGGTTCTGGAATACTAGCAGCCTGATCAGCCTGACCAGTTGCATGGTCGTTTCTATCTCGAGGTGCTCTGTCGGGGAACGGAGGGCCAACGGATTCGGAAGTAGAGATCTCCAACGGGAAAAGCCGGGGCACTGGACGAAGCAGAATTCCATTTCTTGTCTTGACCCTCGCTAGTCTAACTATTCCGTCTTTACTGGGGAAAAGCTCGACTATCTTGGCTAAAGGCCAATGTATGCGTCGTCTCTGGCTGTCTTCCAATAGAACGACATCGCCTACTTGCAACTGTTGAAATTTTCCCTTCTTTATTGCCTGTTGTCTCAACTGACCAAGATATTCATTACGAAATCTGTTTCGTAGATCATGTCTTATTCTCTGTCGGTATTTGGCTCGACGGTTTAGTTCTTTGGAATCTACGTAGTCCATATCAGGAACTCCAGATGACGGCAATTCTTGCAGAAACATCATAGGGGTCAGTGGTGATGGATCTTGATTATCCTCTGATACATATGTGATAGGTCGCGAATTAATCACTTGTTCACAGTCACATAATATAGTATATAATTCTTCATAATTTAAGGACGTTCGACCTAACACTCTTCTTAAATTTTCTTTCACCATTCGCACAAGCCCTCTCCCACCAACCTCCCCACCAGGCGGCGGTCGGAGGGTTGAACTTCCATCGTATCCTTTGGATAGAAGCAGCTGAACATATGGCGTTCCAATTAACTTTCTTAAGAACACTGTTAGTCCCTACAAAATTAGTTCCGTTGTCGGAATATATCACATAAGGTCTACCTCTTCTGGCAATGAATCTACGTAAAGATTGGATGAAAGTTTCTGTAGATAGAGAAGTAACTAGTTCGAGGTGAATGGCTCTATAAATGGCACATGTATACAAGACTATCCACGCTTTAGACCCCTCACGGAGATAGAGAGGACCCGCTAGATCTACACCGACGACTTCAAAAGTCGCCCCTTCTCTGACTCGATCTTCGGGTGGAAATCCTGGCTCGACTTCCACTCTTTGTGAAACAAATCTTTTACATCTTACACATTTTCTGATAATATTTCGAATACTTTTTCTGGATTTTAATATCCAAAAGTTTTCTCTAAGATTTGTCATTAAAGTGCTGACACCAGCATGCTGGAGTTCTAGATGTTTCTCGTAAATTAGTCTCTCAACAAGAATATGTTTTGAAGGTAAAATGATAGGATATCGGAAATTTTCATTATCTTGACGCTGTAGGACGTTCGTTTTGGCTCTTAAAATTCCATTTTGGTCTACGATTGGTCTCAGCGCACGAATAGCGGGATCGTTTATGCCTGTAAATGATTCTTTCTGTACCAATCTACAAAGTGCCTTTTCAGCATTCTCCAATTCATCAACTGAGACATCAGGAGTGAGGTTTTTATCTTTGTTCTTTAAATTGTGATAAAACCTGAAAATCCAAGCGATCATTCTCACGGTTTTTCTATATGAAGAGAAGTATTTGTAGTACCGGTCCAAATTGTCTCCATGATCTAGAAGAGTCAGAATCGTTTTCCTTTTTTCCTTGTTTATAAGTTCTTCATCAGGCTTTTCTTCTACATGGGGCCACTCGTCTTCTGGTAAGTAAAGCCACGATGGGCCCTCCCACCATGCCGATTTCTGTAATTGCTCAATAGTACATCCTCTCGATGGGAGATCCGCTGGGTTTAAACTTCCAGGTACATGCCTCCAGTCAGATATTCTGGTAAGCGATCTTATTTCTTGTACTCGATTGTGAACAAACGTACCCCATGCTTGATCCCTTCTTATCCACCCCAAAGCTGTAGAAGAATCACTCCAGAACACTGTTCTACAATTCTTAAGTTTCAAATCTGATAGAATTGTTTTGGCAAGCCTGGCACCTATCAGACAGGAAAGAAGTTCAAGCCGTGGAATCGTAAGTTCCTTAATAGGGGCTATTCGACTTCTCGCGCTTACTAACTGAACCTTTACACCTTCGATGGTTTCAGCTCTTAAAAATGCACATGTGGCATAGGCTCTTTTACTAGCATCCGAAAAAACGTGGAGCACTACGGTATCTTCGTTTTCGTAATCAATATTTAACCAACGAGGAATTTCAATCTGAGATAGCAGAGGCAATTGGTTCAACCAAGTCCCAAACTGCTCACTTAGGGGAAGAGGAAGATCTTCATCCCACTTAATCTTCTGGTTCCATGTTTCTTGCAAAATTAGCTTAGGAATTACAGTTATCGGTGCAGTAAAGCCAATGGGATCAAAAATTTTCTGGGTAATTGACAAAACTTTTCTTTTGGTAATAGGTTCCCTCAAGTTAAATGTTTCTTCGATCTTGCAACTCAAACTATCTTTTTCTAAATCCCATACTAATCCTAATACTGGGACAACTTTCGTCTTGCTCTCTATCTCATCGATCATGTCAATGCGAAAATTTGATCGCCAACATCTCAAATTGAAATGCCCTGAAGCCAAAATCAATCTTGCTTCTTGAACGAAATTTTCGGCTTCATCTACGTGATTTAAGCTAATTAACGAATTATCGAGGTAAAATGAATCCTTCAAAATATTAGAAGTTTCTACAAACTTTTTCTGGGACTGTAGTCAAAAGGTGACTAAGTGTAGCGGCTAGCAGAAACGGACTTGATGTGAGTCCAAAAACAACTCGGTTATGTCTGTAAATTTTAAACTTATGTTGATTATCGAACCATAGAAACCTTAAAAAATCTCTATCCTTTTCTGCTATTTTGATTTGACAAAAGGCCTTTTCGATGTCAGATGACACTCCTATGCGATATTTTCGAAAACGATTCAATATACGTGGAATAATTTCTATTAAATTTGGTCCTTTACTCAAACAATCATTGAGAGAGGGTGAATTCTTAGAACGTGCAGATGCATTGAAAACAGGCCGTATCTTTGTAGTTTCACTAGACTCTTTTATTACAGGTCTGTGTGACAAGTAGTGCACTCCTTCCTCCTTTTCCTCAGTTACTACCTCAATAATGTCCTTCGCTTCCCACTCATCAAATATTTCTTCGTAATCTTTTCTTCTGCGTGTGTTAATTAGTTTACTTTCGGTTTTGACGAGGTGTCTTTCTGCCACAGTACGGTTACTGGATAAGACGGATTTATCTAAAATAAAGGGTAAGGTTACTTCATATCTCCCTGAGCTATCTCGTTTTACACTTTTTAAGAAATGTTTTCGGGTTTCTTCTTCCAAGGACACTTTTCGTTTTGTTTTCCTCACTTGAAATCCCCAAGGTGTCTAAACGCCAAAGATTGGACAAATTTGTATCGGAAACATGTAAGGATAAAGAAAGAACGGACAGGGAACTCGACGTATTCGCATTCTCTTTAATCTTGCCCATTAAAGTCCAGCCTAACTTGGTCTCAAAGGCTACGTAATCCCCCGCAAAATGTTCAATTCTTTCAGTGAACAATTGTGCTGCGGTGTCCGCTCCTAACAGCATATGAATCTCTTCCGGATTTTCTTGAAACAGACAGAGATTTCCATTCACATGATTGTCGTTGATAAGGATTCCCCTTTTTTCCATTACTTTAATTAATTTTTCGTCTTTGATCTTAGGTAGTGACGAACAAATTTTCCTCTGGTCTAGTGCTTCGATTTTACACCTGTACTTTCCATCCAAACTAGTTAAATCTATTTGATAACGATTATGATCTTCCGAAACTTCTACACCCCCAAATAACCCATGTTTAATTCTTTCAGTTCCTATCTTTTCTAATTTCAACGTTTTAGCAGCATATTGACTTATGTACGTGTTCTGACTTCCGGTGTCTATTAGCAATCTTAAATAACCCTTTAAGGTTTTCCCAGCTACCCCTACGACCAAAGTTTGTAAATAAACTTCAGAACGGTTGCTTTGATTCGAAAGTACTTTATTTTCAACTTCCTGGACAGTTTTGATCGTTCCCTTTTTACTCTCGGAATTAATTCTGTTGCACATAATCGTAGAATGCTTAGAATGCTTAGAGTGACAATGGGTGCAAAAAATGTTAGAATCACAAAATTTGCTGATGTGACCCTTATTTTGTAAACACCTAAAACAAGTGCCATTTTTGCGTAGTATTTCAACCTTTTCGTCATTCGTTAGTTTCTGGGCAATAGGACATTTATGGCTTGAATGGGAAAAATCTCCGCAAAAAACACATGCCTTAATCAATTTTTCTTTAATACCCGTGGACACTAAATCAGAAGCAGAAGAAGCTTTCGTTTCTAATTTATTGCTCTTTCCATCGCTGAAATGACGAGTGTTTATTTTCTGGACTGCATACGCAGACTGACGGCGCCCACTATTCGCTGTCGAATGCTCTGAATTCTTATTTATGACTTCCGCCCTTTCGCGTGAATCTAAACATTGAGCTATAATCAAGCACAGGCTTTTAATATTACAATATGCACTTCCATTACTCATTCTGTTAATCTCAAGCAAAATATCTTGGGGAAGTGATTTCAGAATTATTGGACATAACACACTTGATAAATTCTCGAGAGACTGACCCAAATTTTCTAAACATCTTAATTCGATAGAAATATTATCATAAAATTTTCTAAAGGCGCGAACATCATTCGAGATTTTCAACGGTTTAGTGTTCAAAATGTTATTTATGTGAGTGTAAATGAGCACATCTGTTTTCGCAAATCTTTCTTTTAGAAGATCAATTGCGGAATCGTAATTAGCAGCAGTAATCGGTAATCCTTCGACTGTATTTAAAGCAGAACCACCTAAATGAGCTTTCAAATAATTAAATTTGTCTATTTTATCTAATGAATCATTTTTATGAATGGCAGACTCGAAACTGTTCCAAAAGGTTAGCCAGTTGTTTATATCTCCGTAGAATTTCGTTAAAGTTAACTTAGGTAATTTAATTCGAACAGACTCGTTATGTTTTGGTTCGCTTTGACTATCAGTACTGAACTGGTTATTTACTACCGTTTCAGTAGATTTGCGTTTTAATTCGTCGATTCTTTTGGAGGTACGGAAACTGCATTTAACGACCTTTTGACGATATTCTTCAGATTTTTGGAATTCAGCATCAAATTCTTCGACTTTAAAAAGAGGTTCTAATTCTGTATCGACACTTTTAAGCGATTCGAAATTATTCTTTAATATTTCTAAATTTTCTTCCAAATCATGAATTTTCGGATCAATTTCCGAAAGCTGCGATTCCAAATCTTTAAGCGATTTCGTTACTGATGTTCGGAGAGCTGCGCGCTTCTTTTTTAATTTATTTAAGATCTCTTCAGACATGTTCTTAACAGTTCAAAAATTCAAAATGTAATCAATAATTGTATTCTTAATCTTTATTGTCTAATTTAAATTCTTATTCTTAGCTCGGGCGTCCCGGCAGGGATGCCAAAATTTGTTGTATCTCTCAATAGAATTCTAAAAGGTAAAAAGAAATCTCTTACCTTTTCTTTCACCCGGGAGCCGAGCTTGTTCCATTCTAATTCTTATTCGATGAAATATCTAAATAATTCCAAGCTTTTGCATAAAAACTGACACTTCTGTATAAATAAAGATATTATATTTAGATACAGTTATATACAATTATTAGATTACATGAAATTACGCGCTCTCCAGCTAACAGTCAATCGAGTTCGGATTCAGAGTTCTAACTACGTTCTTCCGTAGGATTATTCTCGAGTTTAGATGTAATGGTGCTGATAGTTCGGAGTTTAGATGTGGAGGCGCTGATAGTTCGGAGTTTAGATGTAACCTATTATGTTGGAGTAGAAATAAGAAGTCTCTTTGTTAAAAAAATTTAAACAAAAAAAACAAAAAAAAAAAACTAGCTAAAATAAGAGAGCCAAGCGGAGATTAAATTTTAGCTACTTGAATTTTAAAACCAATTTTTCTTCAAAGAAATGATTTGCTTTTAAAAGCACCACACCATTCTCAAATAATTTTGTTTTGAAAATAAATACCAACAAAAGAAAATGAAAATATTTCATATTCGGATAAGCTTTGTAAAACATTATATTGCCGCTTGTAATTTTGTTTTAGACTGATTTTATAGTACGAGATACCAATTTCATAGAATAGGTTTAGAAAAACGGGTGTTTAGCAAGGAAGCTAAACTGCGCGAAGACCGGTCCCCTAGCAGTGACGTAGTAACTCAGCGCGCAGGCCTTATCTATCTCGATGGTGACGACCCATGCTGCACCGCTAATCTTAATACTCGGATGGCAACTTTGAAACTTTGAAAAGAGACTTGCTACTTTGAAAGAGAACTTGCTAAGGTAAAATGTGAAGTTTGGAAAAAAAAAAAAAAATCTGAAATGTTTCAGATTTTAAATTACGTCCAAATTAAATTACTTTTTTTAACGTTTTGTGCGTTATCTTTATTTGTTAAACATCATGTTCTTCGTACTTAAACCATAAAATTCAATTCAACAGGAATATCGCAAAATAGTTTTAAAATGAGCATATCTTTAGAATTTCCGATACAAAAACTCACGCGCCGGAGATAAAAATGTTTTTTCTGCATAACGTTGCCATTGCTCGCTTTGAAATCCTTGAGTTTGTTAATCAAAAATTCGTCAAAGTTTTAAAAAATAGGAAATCGATCATAAAACAAATTTCAAATTTCAAATTTGGTCTTCCACATGCTCATATTCGTTGGAGGATTACGTTATTCAAAATTCGATGACTCTATGTACCGTTGTTTTATCACAATACGAGAAATATACATACATTTATGCAGATTTTTCATTATTTAATTTCTTCAAATATAATGCAGGACTCTAACATTTTGTGGCAACAGTTTGAAAAGTGAACCGACATTTATGAGTCCGACGCAAAATGCCAAAACGAAACTAATAGTCCTTCGGGATTCAAATCCCTTTGGACTAAAAAAAAAAAAAAAACTTCAGCTTGGCGGAAATGTTTTCAGGGAAAAAAATATGGACTTTTTTGCCGCTGAAAATGAGGAGCTTGTTTCTGATGTCTTTAAAATCGATAGAGTTGTTGAAAATCTACAGCAAACTAAAGTTGGTTTTTGCATTATTTGAAATGATTGACTAAAATTGAACGACTTAGTTGGTAAAATTTCTTTGTAAATTGCTAATTTTTGTATTGTATTTAAACTTATTTGGCGACTTTACTTCAAGGTAAAAAATATATTCTATAATATTTTATTCATGTTAAAAGAATTTTTTATCACAATAATGTATGCATTTTCCATATTTTCGTATACAATTCGGAAATTTGAAGAAAATATTTGAAGGCTAAGATTAACCGGGGTAACATTAAGCGGCGTCTAACGTAGGAACGATAATGTTACCCGTATGTGTAATGATTATTAATTGAGATAAAGAAATGGAATATTATTATTTCATATACTCACAGAATACAGAAAAAGTAGATGATCTTTGGGATATTTGTTACTTCAGC